TTTTTTGCTAATCTTGTCTATATTTTCCCAAAAATTCAAAGACTTTTTTATCGAATCACCTTCATTCAAATGTCGTTGTTTTAAAATTCAGTTTAACAAATAATAATTTACGGCTTTTACTCAAACATATTGTTTCCGGGCCACCCTAGATTTTTCCAAATTTCTAGCTTGAGAAAATCCAATTTAGAACCGTCATAAATTCACACCACAAATCCCTTTTCACCGCCCATAAAAATATCATTTTACCCGACATAGAGTGGAAATCGAGTATAATCTTTACGAGGTTTAAAGTGTCGGAAGCCACACCAAAATCATCCTATTAGCTGTGAAATTAATTACCTTTAGCGATCCATCAAAGAAGCCCTTCCTTCTGCTATAAATTCTTGAGGATTTTCTCGACTATATTTGCTACTATTTATAGCATGTACAAGTCGGTATTTAGCTTTGCTTAAATTAGTATGGGGTGCCAATTATTTATAGTATAGCGCATCGCGTTTTACGACTACCATTTTAACGACTTTTTCAGATTTATTTCAGATTTTTGATGATATAAATACGATGTTATGGGTAAAACGCATCTGGAGAAGCCGGAAAAAGCCACATCGGTGGTCATATAGTTTAAAAAGTAAACAATTTGATTCGTTCTGATAATAAAATATTATTTTAGTTTCAACACAAAATTTATTCAGATCAAAGTTGAAAATTCAAAAGACGCAACTGAGACCGATGAAATTTTTTTATTGTAGTTTTTATTGCAATTTTAAGTCCAAAAGTCGTGCGCCTCAAATTTGGAGTTCGCTAGAACCAATTCCGGTCGGCGATCACGAGACAATTTTAACTTTAACGGTTTAATTGCATATATTCATGCACTCACCTATTTAAGAAAAGGAAATGGCATATTTTATTGTTTGAGAGAGGAAAACCTTATCAAAACCGACTTTTCCTTACAGAAAACATTCCCATCCATTGCCAACATTGTCGCCCTGCAAACTAAGGAAATTGCTTTGGTTCTCCACACAATTGGAGCTTTTCAAACGTGAAACTTTGTATTTTATTTAGACTCATTGGACTGTTTTCCTGTAGGTACAAAAGTAAACAATGTGCAGCCAAGGAAAACCACTTTTGCAACATTGGGGGACCCAAATCATGCCAGTGAAGATCGTCCAAAACGCGCCATGTGTTGCCCAACGTGTGGAAATTTGGGGGAAATTCCTAATGGAGGAGTGCGACATTTAACACCGAATTATTCCATTCAACATCAGATGGTGTTGGCCACTTTGAACTCAAAATCCACACATTTACTGTGTGATTTGTGTGTCACTGATGTTGCTGTAAGATTCCATTCAAGAAATGCCGATTTTTTTGAACCGTTGTTTTCCAATAAATTGTCATAAATTCTCCACAAAAAGGGCAATTAATTTCACTGATATAATGGGGCCAAACATGAAAACTTGCATAATCGTTAAGAAAATATCGCCTATTTTTTTGAATCGTTGTTTTCCAAACTGTATACAAAGTATACGGATTTTTTCATGATAATTTAGACATAAATTCTCCACGAAAAGGGCAWTWCWGWAWTGCCCTTTTCGTGGAGAATTTATGTCTAAATTATCATGAAAAAATCCGTATACTTTGTATACAGTTTGGAAAACAACGATTCAAAAAAATAGGCGATATTTTCTTAACGATGATGCCACTCTTCTCTGGGTATTCTGTATGCTTCTGGATTTTCCAGTATATTTTTTATTAAAACCATTGCTTTCAAATTTAAATACATTGGTAAATTTTCCTTACTGGTAGCTTAAGATTTTTTCTGAACCAAATTATGAATTTCGCTTTAGGCTACGTCCAGATGCATGGATTGCGCGATCAGCTTCTGCACGGAATGTGAACAACTACATCTAAGGCAGAAATCTTCGGCAATTCACAGTGTTTTGTCTCTAGAAGCGGCAAGGGAAAAAGGAATCACTAAAATCAGGAAGCAAGTTATGTGTATGGTGCATCCCGAGCTCGAGCTGGCATTGTTCTGTTCCACTTGCTATCAAGTAATAGATATAAAAAAATTAAAACTTATAAAAAAGATTCAACTGAGACCCCAAATATCACTGTAGGTGATTTGCACTGAATGTGCTTTGCTCACTCATCGGGCCCACATGTGCGAATCGGTGTCCAAAGTAGCAAAATCCCATATAGTTAGCTTACGCATGGCCGCGAATAAAGCCAAAGCTTTAGTGGAAAAGTCAGCAATGGATACAAGTGTTCTGTCCACTACGTCCAAACGTATCGAAGCTGACTGTGCAAAGGTTCGAAAATTATCCACAATGACCGTCTAAGGCTGATACTAAAGCTGTTTCATTTCAGATTCAATGTGAGGTGGAACGTTTCATCGAAGACTACATCAGATCGATAGAAGAGCACAAAAGCAACCTGTTGGAGCAAATCCGCCAATTGCGAGAAGAGAAAATGCAGCAAGTGGTAGAGGAAAAGCTCAAGCTGCAGAAGAAAATTAGAGACGCCAGAGATATAGCGTATTTCCTGGACGATCTGCTCATTGACGGTTCTGATGTTGAGGTGTTGAGCTTTATCAAGCCCATTATCGAGAAAATCGAAGGTTGCGATAATCTAGAGCCGAGCCCTGAGTTGAAATACTCGGATAGCATCCAATTTCTGCCCGAGGAGAGCGTTAAAGACACGAAAAGTTCCCGGAATATATACGGAGTGCTTACGACACAGAACATTTCGGCGGAACATTGCCGGATTAATACCAAAGGTGAGTTGAAACAAACCTGGTTGATTTACTATGAAACAATGCGTAAATTGAGTAAAGTAATCAGGATTCATGAGGTTTAAAATAGGCGCACTGCTACTAATTATTGGGGATTTATGTTCGCATTGTAGTGTTGCAGACCTGATTTCGTAATATGAAGGGTAAACACCTGAAAGCAAGCAACATAAATCGCTTGGGCAAACAGCAATATATAATTATAAAAAATGTACGTTCAATGGAAATTGCATACTTACTATAAACCTGTAATTCTAATTAATTGTGCGGTGAGTTCGAAAAACGGATTTTCGCCCTCGTATAACAATATTTTTTATTCGAATTAAGGAATAAAGTCATAATAAATGAAAATAACCAAAAATAAAAGCCGTCAACTTCATATTTCAAATTTGATGTCAATGTCATGTTTTGACGTTTGTAATTTTTCAAAAGCCTACTTTTGTAAGCTTATACAAGTGAAACAATAAGTGGTTAAAATTGCGCTCTTTAAAAAAATCGTGTTTTGCTTGTGGCAACGTGGCGCAGAAAAATAGACAATAATTATAATTTACAAATTGTAACAAAAGTAAACTTTAAATTATGATCAACAGTTCTCTATAAACCTACTTAATTAATTAAAAAGGCGTGTGGGTTATTTTTAAATGAAAATACTTTAAAATATTTTTTATTCGAATGAATCTAAAAGTGCCATTTTTCGATCAGAAGCGATGATCAAAAAGAAGCACTTTTCTTTACTGTTCATTTGTTTTACATTTGCGCACGCACTTTTACGCACATGTGCGCATAAGTAAATGTGACAAATGGAACGTGTCACTGTCATAAAATATTTTAAAGTATTTTCATTAAAAAGTAACCGATAGGCTTTTTTAATGAATTACGTAGGTTTATAGAGAACGATAGAACATACTTTAAACTTTACTTATAATGTATAAATTATAACTTTGTTACAAGTTCAAGTCTCAAAGTCGTTCAAATCGTCTATTTTTTGCACTCGCCGACGTTGCCACAAACAAAACACGATTTTTTTTAAATCGCAAATTTTATGCAAAATATGCATTTTATACAAACACCATACCGTGAACGCAGCACTTGAATTTCCAACACTCATTGTTTCACTTGTATATGCTTACAAAAGTACGCATTTGAAAAATTACAAACGTCAAAACATGACAATTTCAAAAATGACATTCACATCAAATTTTAAATATGAAGTTGACGGCTTATATTTTTTGTCTGTTCTTATTTGCTATCGTCTGTCTATTATATTGTATCGAAAACTACTAATATGACAGAGACACGTTGAATTTGTCACATTTACTTTAGCGCACACGTGCGTAAAAGTGCGTGCGTAAAAGTAAAAGAAATGAACAGTAAAGAAAAGTGCTTCTTTTTCATCATCATCGCGTCTGATCGAAAAATGGCACTTTTAGATTCATTCGAATAAAAAAGTTTATTTAAAACGTGTAAATGCAGAAAAAGTTGCTTTTCTATACGGCAAAAAAGTATCTTCTTTTGTCATTTTTTTTTGATTTATTAGTTATTCGACAACTTCAGAGCGTGTTCTTTTGTGTCTTGCTTATTTTGAATTTAAGTGATATCTAATTCAGCCAGTCTTTCCAGTAAATTATCATTTTTCTGGTTGTTCCCCAATTAATCGTTCTGTTTATGTTGTTGGCTAGACTTACTTAATCTTTGGTTAGACGCATGTTATATCTTATTGGCTGGAAGCTAAAAAAGAGGGGATACAAGCTGGAAGGACCTGCGCATATGAAACTTAATAAGTTGCTCTTTGGTGGTAAACAAGTGAGATCCAACTTATAGGGTTATGATCAGATTGACCCAAAACTTGTATTCCCCAGAATTTTTTGCATCTAAAAAATGGATTTGTTGCAAACACCGATTGCATCAGTGCGTGCTGTTGACCCAAAATCATACGAAAAACTAATGAACAAACGGATTGAATATGTCCTGAAACAGTCCCTGTTCGGAAGTTACTTTGCCGCATTCGACCAAGAAGAACTTTGTTTCTTGAAGTTTTACGACTCGAACGAGGAGGCTGCTTTAGAGCACATAAAAAAGCAGTTTAAAAATGCTGTTGTGGTTTGTCGCCCCGACTTTCAACCTCCTCAAGAACTAAAGCTTTTACTGATTGGTACGGACTTTGAGGTTTCCGTCTGGAAAGCTCTTTTGAAAATCCATCCTGGGTACGTACAATACACTACGTGTTTTTTATTTCATAAGATCGAAGGATTTATTGTCGGGTTTTTCAGAAATACTTCAAGTTACAACGACATTGCAACAGTTATAGAACATCCGAAGTCTGTTAGAGCGGTTGGAAATGCAGTGTTGAAGAATCCAATTTCCTACATTGTTCCATGCCATAGAGTTGTTCGGAAGAATGGGGAATTGGGCGGGTTTGCATCTGGCCCGCAGCGAAAATTAAAAATGTTGCATTTCGAGGGTGCCAAAATC